GGAGAGGCGATCAAAGGACTGTGAACCTTGTGTACTGCATCAGCTATCCGCACAGATGCTCTGCCAGGATGGAGGCAGGAGCTAGAGTGAAGAAGAAAATAGGAACTGGGTGCTAATGCTGGTTGATGTGGAACAGTGCTTGGAGGCCATTGCTGACAGTGGGCAGGTGGAACGAGTTTCAAAAGACTTAGAAGGATAATTAAGTTCCTGCAGTAACCTAAGGAAGTTGTAAGTTGTTCTGTCAAAAACAAACAATAAACAAACAAATAAACATTTTCTCAAGTCCAAAAATCAGCCTCTGTGCATGGATGACTTTCTAGGGTTTAGGATGTTAGGATGGAAAGGATTACAGATTTAACAATTCGAACTCCTTAACTGCAGTTAGAGAAACTGATATGTACACTCTCCCAAGGCCACAGCTCACCAGATGGACCGTAGAACTCAAACTTCAGTTAAAACACAGGAAGGCAAAAAGAAAGCCAGCATCAAGAAATCCCTGGCATATGTGCTGCAGGTTTCCATCTACACTCACTTTGCTACCTTCTTCTCCAAGGGCAATAATGTGGACTTGCTTCATGACTGCAGGATTTAACTCCTTTAGAGAAAGCATTCCCATTTTGACTGGCATCCTTGCAGCTTTGAAACCGTAGGAGAAGCTGTTTCCTCCTCACACTGAGGTAAGGATGGCATGCCAAGTTCATGCACACATATGCAGCAACAGCAATCAAAGGAACCTGGATAGCTTTCACCACGTGGAGGGGCAGTTCATGCACGGTCATGCTTCATTTGGGTGCAGTGGTACACACCTGTAATCCCAGGTACCTGGGAGGTAGAGAACGGAGTTCAGCCTGGGCAAAATGTTAATGAGAGGGCTGGTGGAATGGCTCAAGTGGTAGAGCACCTGCTTAGCAAGCGTGAGGCCCAGAGTTCAAACCCCAGTACCGTAAAAGAAAAAAAGTTAACGAGAGCTGTCTCAATCAATAGACTGGAGGAGGAGGGAGTGACTCATGCCTGTCACCTGGCTCAAAGGAGGCTAGAGATAGGAGGGTTGCACTCTGAGGCTGGCTGAGGGCAAAGTGTGACCCATCTGAAAAATAAAAGTATAGAAGGCCGGGGGCATGACTCACATGGTAGAGTGCTTGCCTAGCAAGAGCAAGGGCTTGAGTTCAAACCCCAATTACCCTCCCTGCCCCCCCAAAAAACCCAATGGCATAGATACAGTATAATGAAACTAATTTTATCGGTGGCAACTGGCACTAAAAAATTAAATAAGAGAATGGAAAACACCAAAGTGCAATTCAAGTGCTTTGGGAAAATTTTCCCTCAGTTGCATGTGCATTCATGTATTGAAATGGTTCTTAGCCGGATTTAAATTTCCAAGGGATATATTATTTGAACTATATTTATTAACTAATCATATTTAGCAGACTCATTATTTTAACTTCATGCTTATTCCATAAAATGATTTGGATTTCTTTAAGTCTGGGAAAATTTATTTAAATAGGCAAATAGCCTCATACCCTATGGTGTCCTCTAATTACCTTTGTTAGTTCAGTCCCCAAAATGAGTACCAGAATAGATTTTCATGAGAACAAGTTTAATCTTGGCGAGCCATTATGAATGTGAAATAAGTGAGTGGTTCGTTTTTTTTCAGAGACTGTAATTATCTACTTCAAGATTTACAGATAAGCAAATTATAATTTTATCCGCGAATCTTTCTTTCATCCTGGTTGCAGAACTTCCTCAGCTGGGGCAACAGTAACAGTAGTAAAAGGATTGGCTACAAAATTAATGGGAAGCTAGCATTGCCACCCATCCCTTTCAGGCCAGCAGGACACACAAATTGATGACCACATACCAACCACGGGCTGTGGATGCCAATAAGTAGCATCAATTATGATGGTGTAAAGACAAGTCAGAGGGACACAGGTTTGATTTCAGCTTCTGAGTGAGACTCCTTGGATTATTCTTGCCCTATTTTGGCTCTGTCTCATTTAAAGCTGAGTTTCTGTTTTGTTTTTGTTTTTCTAATGTGGGCTAGTTATAAGGAAATTAACCTACTGAGGATAACTGGTATTTTAAAAAATTGAAAGAGTAGAACTGAAAATGTCAGGAAAAATTCCAGGTGCTGTATGAAAATTTCATTTCATTGTGTTTGTGTGTGTGTGTGTGTGTGTGTGTGTGTGTGTAGGTGAATGTACATCTGTGTGTTGGTGTGAATATCTCCTGTGATTTAATGGGTCACAGTCAAGAAAAGGTTGAAACTATTATGCTAAAAGGTGACAGGACAGAAGACACAACTAGCTCCCATTGTAGGGGTCATAAGTCCTGACATTGACTCAGAGAAAAGCTAAGCAAAGAGAAAAGCTAAGAACAGTCCTGGGAGGCATTTTAACAGGTCTATCCTCAGAGGGGGCACGTAACGGAAGTAAGAACAGCTAAAGTGCCAGGGCCTGTTCTGAGGCTGCTGAGGTTTGTCTTCTTGAGGTCCATCTGCTGGAGGCTTGGTCCCCAGGGTAGCAGCATGGAGAAGTGGTGGGATCTTTACGTGAGGCCTAGTGAAAGGCAATGATGTCATCGGGGGCATCACCCTTGTTAGAGATTATTGAAGTTCTTGTGAGAGCATGTTGTTATACAGTGAGGCCACCCACACGCTTGGCCTCTTCTGTACATGGTCATTTCCCTTCCCTCTTCTCTGCCATATTATGGGGCAGCCACAAGGGCCCTCACAGAGGCCAGACTGATGAGGCCACTGATCTTAGACTTTCAGCCTCCAAAACTGTGAACAAAATAAGATAGAGACCATTTACCTACACCCATTCATATGTATATTGTCACTTTGGCCTTTGTAGGAGGTGGGTACGTTTGCTACTCCCCGTATTCTACAGATGGAGGGAATCAGGCACAAGCAGGACCCCACCATTAGCTAGTGGTGGGTCTGTAAGACATCAGAATCTTAAACTCTACCAATGCTCCCCTATGGCCTGCTGGGATTTTACCCTGCTCTTGGCTCTCTCCATGTGTTTAGTGCTCCTGAGTTACTGAAGTGGCACTCAGATGTTTGATTACAATGTTACCCACACTAAGAAGTTCACACCACCGTCTGTAATCATCCTTATTACTCTTATCCTTGTCTGCTATGTCCCTGGGACTATTCTTACTATTTTTTATGCAGCTTTTTCCATGAAACAACATTTATTCTTATGGTGAGCGACATAAGTGCCTAATTTATTTTAGTTTAGTCTGTGGAGGGAAATAAGAGGCTTACTGGTTATAACCCACCAAAATGATTTCACAATCACTCATAAGTGTAACTCAGTATAAAATTATTCTTTAAAACTCGTGTCTGCCAAGAGACAAAATACCTGTGAAGGAGCTGAATTGGCCACATTAATACTGGCATTGTTTTCATAAGCCCTGCTCTGTGACTCACATTTTTACTGGTAGGCAGCTCTACCACCCAGCACAGCATGATATAGCTCTATGCTGTTTACAGAGCGTTGTTGTACACACCCCTCACATAAGCTTCACAACAGTGCCACACTTTGCATGTGAGGACTCCCATTTTGGAGGTAAGCTAACAGAGTCAGAGAGGTTAAGTGACCTTCTAAAGGTCATTCAAGTGAATTAGGAATGAGGACTTCTGACCCAATATTGTGTTTCTTTCTTTTCTTAAAATTTGTTCCATATCTCCTTTTCTGTTTGTAAAAGTAACATGTATTCAATATTTTAAAACACTCACAGGTGCTAAGAAGAAAATAAAAAAAATTACTCTCTTTTGGCGGTACTGGAGTTTGAACTCAGGGCCTACACTTTGACCCACTCCACCAGCCCTTTCTTGTGATGGGTTTTTTTTTGAGATAGGACCTCAAGAACTATTTGCCAGAAGCTGGCTTCGAACCACAATCCTCCTGATCTCTGCCTCTTGAGTAGCAAGGATTGCAGGCAAAAATTACTTTCTTAGTGAAACCACTTTTAATATTCTGGATATTCCTGAGCAACTTTCCTGAGTATTTTTGACTTTTGCCATTATAAAAACAGAACGGCTTATGCAGCCCACACAACTGTCCTCAAGGGAAGGGCTCTTCTCTCACCGATGCCTTCCTTCTTACTGCTGATGGGAGTACAGTTCACCAGCCAGGCCTCTTCCTTTTCTTGAACACTTTTCAAGGATCCATGAAGGCAAGATGAGGTCGGTGGGAACCAGACTTGCACATTTTGTGACAGTATAGGTTCAAAATGGACAAAAAAAAAAGTCTTTCTAACCAAAACTACCTAACAACAGCTGGGGATAAAGGGTCAATAGTGGTGCATCCTCTCCTGAGTACCAGGGACCATGTACGCAGTCCTAGTACACGTGAGAGTTAGAACTCAAGCCAGAGTTGCAGCATCTGCTACCTGTGCAACCGACAAATCAAGTTCTGTCATCTGGAGCTATGAAGGTCTTATTCACATTGTTTTATTTATGGCTGAAGACTTTTATATGATGTGTTGCTTTTTCAACTGACTTGGTTGGGGCTTAGTAATCTTTTCCTTTTATATGTGTGTGTGCATGTGTATATTTTGTATGTATGACTTACAATTGTGAAATCAATAAATTCTTAGTAATGTCCCTCGTAAGATTACGTATGTTCACATTATGTATATGCAGTGTATTACAAATTATACAATATATATTACATATTAAATAGCAATGGAGAAAATAACACAAAGACAGAAGACCCTGGTGCCGGTGGCTCACGCCTCTAATCCTAGCTACTCAGGAGGCAGAGATCAGGAGGATCGAGGTTTGAAGCCAGCCTGGGCAAAAAGTCTGCAAGACCCTATCTCGAAAAAACCCTTCACTGAAAAGGGCTGATGGAGTGGCTCAAGTTATAGGCCCGAGTTCAAGCCCCAGTAGCACAAAACAAAACAACAAAACAGAACAAACAAAAAAAGGCAAAAGAACAAAGTCATCTATCTGGATATTCAGGCCTATTTCATTCTTTTGAAAAAATTACCTGTGTAAAGAAATGTATTTGAGTGTCCTCCTACCACGATGTCTACACCCTTAACTTTCTGAGCAATGAGTTTATCCATTTCAAAGCCAGAGTGTCCCAGGGCAATAATTTTGTTCACATTTAGAGTTTTTAGCTTATCAACTTCAGGTTGCAAGGCAGTGATTTCATCTTCAAATACCAAATTCGTTCCTAAAGAATAAAATAAACAAAATGGATATTAACAATACTTGCTTCTTATATCATATCATATCAACAGAAAAGTATACTGAACCTACTCAAGTACTAAGACCAAAATATATGTATACATTAAATACAAAACCCCAGGAAGCCACGAAAAATTAAAATCAATACTCTCAGTTACATTCACTTGATGTCACAATAGTTTAAGATTGTAGATAATATTTTGCTTGAACTCAATCTCAAACTAAGGGAGAACTCAGATATGCCTTTTTTCTTTTTTTGGTGGTACTGGGCTTTGAACTCAGGGCCTCATGCTTGCTAGGTAGACACTGTATCACTTGAGCCACTCGGCCAAGTGTAGGATATTTTGTGTTGGATATTTTCAAGACAAGGTCTCACAAGCATTGCTTTTTCTCTCCTTTTATACTTAGACTTCCATGATAACAGTGCAGAAAACACCTCCACATATAAGTAAGATGTACACAGCGATACCACTACCCAGGCTTTGTTTGGAAACACGGGCTAACCAGGCCTCCAACCGTAAGCTGTCAGCAAGTTAAACAACCACCTCTTGACATCCATTGGCTGCACAGCCCAGGTGTTCTGCGCACTGTGAGAAGATCAGATCCTCCCAGTCGCTGCGCCAAACCTCTGACAGCTCTGAGATTTCACAGCTTCAACAGGCACGAAGATAACAACAAACACAGGCAGACATCATGCTTGCTACATCATGCTTGCTACAGTTGAACCAGACCTTTATGTTAATTTCTAAGAACCAGCACTAAAATGTCTAAAAATGAATAACATCTCATAAAGAACTTTCAAATATTCCAAAGAGTCTGTGAATTCCAGTTTGAAAAGTCTGAATCTCTCTAAGAGCAACGAGACTATTAAAAATGCACCCTTGATACACTGTGATGTTTAGGACTCTATGCTTCCCTGAGGGAACTCTTGAGTTCTAACTCCACGTGTACAAATCATCTTGGAGGATAAACAGCATGGGTGACATCATAGCCTGGAAGGCCCCAGACTGACAGCCTGACAATTGGCGGCTCACAGATGGGCTGGAGTGGCAGTGTTGTCAGTAACTCATAGGCAACATTTAAAAATCGAGTTGCTAAGGGTGTGGCTCAAATGGTAGAGTGTGTACCTAAAAAGTGCAAGGCCCTGAGTTCAAATCCCAGAACTGCCAACAAAATAAAAATCAAGAGTCGCAACAGTTTTGTCACCATTGTCTATTGAAAACATCAAAGACAATCTGCTTCTTGCTGATCACCCCAAGAAGCCACAGGTGGTCAGTTCTCACTGCTGAGTCCCCTTCTCTGTAAACCTTCCCCACGAGTGATCCTTTAACAGGATAAGGTGTACCCTCCTCATGTCACACCTGCCCTTGCCCCTCCTCCTGCTTCATCTTCTCCACATCACTCACCACTTTCTAACATACCAGGACACGTTACCATTTATTTATCCTCCCAGTAAACACCCAAGCTCCAGTGGAAAAGGACTTTTTGATTGGTGTCTCTGGTGCCTAGAACAGTGTCTGGCACATGTACAGGTCCTTAGGGTGAACAAATGAATGTTGGGAGAAGGCTGCCATCCTCTGCTTTGGTTAGGCAGGCAAGAAGAAACAAAAAAAAGTTCAGAGAAATACCTCTGAGGAAAAAGGAATGTATTCTCCCAGGAAACCTTATCTTGTATGTGAGGACCGGGACTCACATATATAGAAAGCATGGGATGTATTTCTGGACATTATGAAAAGAGTTACATATATAGGGATTTCTTTACCTGGCTATATTAAATTAAATGAAACATGGTAAAAAAGTGCATGGTTAATATATCTGTGGATGCTCAGGCCATGAGAACTAGGAAAATTGGACTTGGTTAGGGTACAGAGACTTACAGGAACAGTCCATGCAGGACTCCACTTCCAATTTTGAGTGAACTGCATGAAGCAAAGATACTGCTTATGTCAACAAAGTTCATTTAGCATAAGAGGTAATGTCTTAAGAAGAAACTTAGAGGGCTGTTGGAGTGGCTCAAGTGCTCGCTTAGCAAGCGTGAAGCCCTAAGCTCAAAAAAGAACTAGTTTAGAACATCGCAGAATCCACCAGATTGGTTTATCAATGTCATCCTAAGTTCACCATTTACCTGTTTGTTTCTTCTTTTACCTACATTCCATAAAAAATAATGCCAAGACCTGATTTAGTGCATCTATTTTCAAGCCATGAGTGCTGCAAAAGTAGACAATACCTGGATTTGAGAGTGAAGGGGTTTCTTTTGAGGTGTATCCAACGATTCCCACAGGTTCACCACCAACAGAAAGAATTTTGTATGGCAAATAAAGTCCTGATATTTGAGATGCAAGTGACCCCTTTGCCTTAATGTTTGCACTCAGAATTGGAAATTTGGCCTTTTTGAGAAGTGGATCAATCAGTCCTTCGACACCATTATCAAATTCGTGGTTTCCCAGTGCCTACGTAAAAGAAAAGAGAAAGAAAAACAATTAGGTACCCTATGATTTCCAAAAAGGCAAACTTTAAAAAATATTACATTAGCCAAAAAGGTTCCCCAAACTAGCTAAGCTCTATGAGACGGAACCCAAACCTGGTGTTCTTCTCACCTCCAAAGACTTAATCAGGAACCCTGGGGCACTCAGATCATAGGTTGGCCAAACATTGCATCCCAAGTCTCACCCACCTAGTGAAGGTGTCATCAATGTGCACAAGCACCCCTGGGAGCTGGTCAGAGCCACTGTCCTGCCATCCTCAGCTCTGAGCATGCTCAAGAGTTTGCCTTTCACAGGCTCTGCCCAGCCTTTTCATGCTTTGTCTTCTTGCATAAACTCACATTTCATCATTTAAACCATCTGCTTGGCAGAACGTTAGCATCAGCAGGACTTTAGCTTATGGTGACCTGAAATGTATTGTCAGCAGAGACCAGAGGTAGCCTTCCTCTTCACATCTCCTCAGTCATCATGCCCCTACATTCCCACAATCATGCCTTCTGAAGGACTCCTGTGGTCCTCCAATTCTTGGAAAATAGAGAAGGACAGGCAGGAGTGAGGTCTCCATGTTTTTCCATGGGTGGTGCTGCTTGCTCCAGTTAGCTCTGGTCACCCTGTTCCATTCCCAGCAGTTCACACTACAGAAGGGCCTCATGGTGAGATGACCATATGACCTGCATCAGGTTCTGGACCAACTCTGAGCACAGGACTTTGGGAGGGGCAGAGACAGCCTCAAGCATCAGTCAGTGTGAACCCCCACACAGAGGATGTATTTATGAAATATGTCATACCAGCTGCCTTCCCCCAAAACCTGCTTTGGCCTCCTGCTTATTTATTTACTCACTTGCTGTAGCTGCCAAGAGTATTTTAACTTAGTACTTAAACCAGTGAATCTCAAACTTTCTAAACACCACATTCAGTTTTGCTTCATTTTGTGAGTCACAACAACCAAACATATAAAGAACTCATTTTTTTTTTTTCTTTCAGTTCTGGGGTTTGAACTGAGGGCCTTGCACTTGCCAGGCAGGTGTGCTACCATTTCAGTCATATACTCAGCCCTAAAGAACTTTCAAAATTTAAAAAAAGAAACAATTAAACAGGGTGTGGTGGCACATGCCCATCATCCCAGCACTGAAGTGGAAGATCATGAGTTCAAGCCTGGGATACAGGGCTAGACTATCTCAAGGAAATAAGCAAAGTTTATAATCCCAGCTACTAGGGAGGCCATAGCAGGAGGATCACCAGTTCAGTGCATGAGTTTGAGGCCAACTCAGGTGAAAAGGTAGCAGACCCTCTTTCAAACAAAATAAAAAGTAAAGGCTGGGAAGCAGCTCTAGAGCCAGAGCACTAAATCCTGTTTTAGTAGGTCAGGAAGTCCTATTAGGTGGGTGACCCCTTAAGATAAAGAGGGCTACTGTGAGCCGGTGCCAGGGGCTCATGTCTATAATCCTAGCTATTCAGGAAGCAGAGATCAGGAGGATAGAGGTTTGAGACCATCCCAGACAAACAGTTTGTGAGACCCTATCTTGAAAATACCCAACACTAAAAGACCTGGCCTAGAGGCTCAAGTCATAGAGCACTGAGTTCAAACCCCAGTACCATAAAAAAAAAAAAAAGAAGGCCACTGTGTATTTAGCCTCACCCTTCCTTCCCAGCACACCCCATACTACACTGGGGTCACTCATTTATGTCTGTCTCCTGGCTACACTGTGTGCTTGCGCCACCAGATCTTGCCACCTCTGTTCTGCTCAGTGCTGTAGTTCCCTTCAGGCATTCACTGAGTATCTGACATCCTGATGAATGTCCTCACATTCCATCCCTCTCGCCCCTATGAAATTCAGAATTTCTCAACTTTCCTTTTTCCCTATCTCTGATGATCTACTCCCCTCCCCCTTTTTTGGGCAGCACGAGGGTTTAAACTCAGGGCCTTTTGCATGTGAGGCAGGCGCTCTACCATTTGAGCCACTCTGCCAGTCTTTTTGTGTGTGTGTGTTGAGCATTTTTTCAAGATAGGGTCTTGAGATATTTGTTAGGCTGGCTTAAAACGGCCATCCTCCTGATCTCTGCCTCCAACGTAGCTAGGATTACAGGTGAGAGCCACTGGCACCCAGCTGATCTGTATGTTTTTACTTCTGTTTATCTGGTTAACTTCTCTCCTAAAAGCTGATCTGGTCTTAAAGGCTTTCCTTTGTCTTGGGTAATGTTTTCTACTATTCTTAGAACTGCATGGTTCTTCCTATTGTGAAATAAATCTCCTTGTTACATATTAATCCTGCTTAACTGTAAAATTGCTTTGTTTTTAGTAAATATTTCTACAATTCCTTTTTGTTTTGTTTTTTGACAGGGTCTTACTACGTATACCAGGCTGGCCTCAAATTCATGATCCTCTTGCCTCTGCCTTGTGAGTGCTGGGATTACAGATATGTACCACTCACCTGGCCATTTCTATAGTCCTTTATAAAAGATTATCCAACTTCTCTGTGACCTATTCCTAGCATTTGGCAGTGTTTGAAGTTATAATTTTCATTTGTTACTGTCCAGTGTCTTTCCCCACTCTCCACCCTGACTTTGAGTGTAAGCTCTCTGAAAGTTGACTTTGTCATTTCACTTCTTGTATTTCCTTGGGGAGAGAAGCCCTGATCTATAGTGCTCAGTGTGTGGACAGACTACATGATCTCAGTCACACTTGAATTATCAGCTCCAAAATTTAAATCTCCAGTCCAACTTTCTCCTAACCTGAATGTCTGTATGCCAGCCAGCCCACGGACATTTCCAGCTCAATGTTCAGCTACAGCAGCAGAACAACTCTCGCTCGTCATACCAGCATCCCCAGGGCCAGCCTCTCTGCATAGCTGGAATGACAGGCAAGCACCACCACACCTGGCTTAATGATTGCAATGGGGTCTTGCTAACTCCCCTACTCTTCCCAGCTGGCCTCTAACCACCACGATCCTCCTGACCTCCCCCTCCTGAGTAGCTGGGATTACTGGTGTGCACCACCCAGACTGGCTCTCTAAATCATCTTTTATATTGCTGCTAGAATAACTTTTCTAAAACAAAAAAATCTAACCTTGTTGTTTTCCACCTTAAGATCCTATGGAGGTGTAGCCTTTAGGATAAAATCCAATAGGGCTCCCAAGGCTCTCTGAGACTTGCTATCACCTTCCTTCCATTGTCATTATGACACCTGCCTGCTGCTGTGTGAGGCCAAAGGCAGGGCTGGCTCCTGCACAGCAACCTGGGGCACTGTTCTAAACCTCAGTTCCCTCTGAAAGCACACTAATGCAAAAGTGGTAAGTGAAATGAGCTGCATTTACCAAGCTCTTGCTGCAGACAGCATTAGGAAAAGTGACTTTGTGCAAAAATCTGGTTTCAGTGCCATCAGGTTGCTACTATTATTACTACGCTCATTTTATAGCCCCCCAAAACTGAGAGGTAAACAAGTTAAAGGACTTGTTGAAGGTCACACTTTTAGTAAGGGTGGAACCACTTCTGCTTAACCACGTCTGTTTAGCTATGCTTGGCTGTGAAGGGCTTTGCATAAGGCCTGGGACACAGCCATGGCAGCATTCACAAAGAAACAAAAGCCCTGACTGCTTGCAGTTTCCCATGCTCTCACTTATCTTGGTCCCTTTGTATATGAGATAGATAAATGACAACAGATAGACAGACAGAATTGAATATCCCTTCTTCAACTTATGCTTTTAATACCTTATCCGACTAATGGGTTGGCTCTTTAAATCTGATGTTCCTTCTAGAATAGACTTCCCCAAGAACTCTTTGCTGGGCTCCCTGTCTGAGTGAGATGTCCTTGCTCACTCATGGCCATGTCTGTGCAGCCCTCATAGGACTCTCATTTGCCCACTGGGTAGCAGCCTCTTCTGGGGCCCAGCAGTCACTGGACCATAACAAAGTACATTGCTGAATGAATAAATGAGAATCCCTCACCAGTATCTTTTGTTTCTACCATATCCAGCTAGTGTTTCATATAATATTTAATGCAGAAATTTTCCTTTGGGGAGAGGGTATAAAAGAGAATGATCGAGGGAGCGAATTCAACTATGATATAATTGTGAGAACTTTTGTAAATGTCACAATGTACTCCCAGTACAATAATAATAAAAAAAAATTTAAAAAAATTTGAAAAGAAAATTTCCTTTGTAAATATTTATTTTCCAGCACTTGGGAGGCTGAAGAAGGAGAGAGTAGTTTCTGTTAGGTGGCAGTTAGCCATGAGTGATGGGGAAATACAAAGGAAACTTAAAATGGAGGATTCTCTAAGGTCTCCGACAGAAAAACATTTGACAGCCCAGTAGAATCAAAATAACCACCAAGGTCATAGGATATCACAAAACGTTTTTGAGTCACCCATCCTAAGGCAGGTCAACATCAGTTCCTGACACAACAAATCTTAACAAAACAAAGACAAAGGCCTTCAAACCATACTCTAGGGGTCAAGTGGACCCAAGAATATTTCGTACTTTGTAAATCTGTAGGCCTATGTAACTTCAGCCTCATGGGCTGATGTTAGGAAGGAGCTTAACACTCCAAGCCTCTTCCCTTTCAATAAAAACTGGTGCTGGGAAAACAATTGTCATTCCTGCTCTCTTTCTAGAGATGACCTGATTTCAGTCCATTAAAAGTGAGTCACATTCATAATCCTAGCTACTCAGGAGGCTCAGGAGGCATCAGAGATCAGGAGGATTGGGCTTCAAAGCCTGCCAAGGCAAATAGTTTGAGACACCCTACTTCAAAAAAAAAAAAAAATCACAAAAAAGGGCTGGTTGAGTGGCCCAAGGTGTAGGTCTTGAGTTCAAACCCCAGCACTGCAAAAAACAAAACAAAATGGAAGTGATTTTCTTTCCTAATAAATTCTGCTATCACTTTCACTATAGTTTTGTGTCTTGCTTGAGTTCTCTCAGCAAATGCAAGGACTGAGGTAAGTAGCTCTCCTGACTTTCTGGTAACAA